TTTTTTTTTTTTTTTTTCCCGGGGGAAAAAGGGGAAAAAAAAAAAAAAAAAAAAAAAAAAAAAAAGGCAAGCCAAGACCCAGCAGCAACCTTCCACCACCGCCGGCAGGACTCGGCGAGCGCGGTCCCGACGGCCGCGCGGCAACTGGTTGGATTTTAGGGGTTCGGCGGCCCCAAGCGCGGCGCGGCGGGGTGAACGGCAACAACAATGCCATCATGTTTTTGAGACAGGAAACCTCGGAGTTTGCCCCGAATGAAGAACTTCCTGTGTTTAAACTTGCACGAATATCCGCTGACAAGCTCGGTTCAAATGAAAACACGAGAGTCGGGGGGAGAGGCTAATTCAGACCAGCTGGACTTCCACGGGACGCAGAGCTGGGCAGAAAATGCGAGGAGCCGCTCGCCGCTCGGGCTGCCGTACGTGAGCGGCCGGGACAAGCAGTGCCTTTGTTATTAAAGAAGGACGGACGGGATAATTTAAGAGCTTCAAACTCTTCCGCCGTTTCTGTCGCAAAACGGCGCTTGGGAATATTTTATTGGATTCGGATGGTTTTTGCTGATGGATGGGAGGTTTTTTTAGGGGGGATGAGATGGGTTGTTTCGCCGGTCGGGACCACCGGTCGGGCTGCTGAGGCGGCGTGGTGCTGCCGGCGCACCCTCCCGTCCCCGTAGCATCGCTGCTTTGGGATTTAAAGCCTGCCACAGCGGGTTTGGGACCTGCTGGCCGTGTGATGCTTCCTGCGGTGGCGGGCGCAAGGTTGCCGGGGCGGTTTCGTCATCCGTAAGGACGAGAGCATGGGCAAACCACTGAGCCGCCCAGACTGTTTACGGCAGAACCGCACTTGCCTGGGGAAGGGCGAGGAGGAGGATGGTTATATAGAGGATTGCTACGTGCCCCAGAGGTCGATATACGACACGATGAGAATTAATGAGCAAATCGATCAGGGATCAAAGCTCAACCAGCTTTCCAAAAGCACCCTCGGCAAGGGGGATGGCAGCACCATATCCAGCAACGGGACCCTGGGAGCTGCCAACGTCTTTGAGTCCAGGGCGCCAGAAACGAAGAAGTTGGACGAGCGAGTCATCTTCGACGCGCTAAAGCTCAGCAGCGATGTCTCCAAACCGGCACCGGCTCCACCAAGGAGACGACCGAACCCCGAGAGGAAGGAGAACGTCAACCGGCGATCATGGAAATCCTTCATGCCGCCGAACTTCACCGAATTTGCCGAAAGGATGGGGGCTTCGCTGAGCGAGGTGTCGGAAGCGGGTGCCTCCAACCCTTCCCTGCGGGATAAGCGGGAGTCGAGTGCCATGCTCACCGAGTGCCCGGGCCAGCCCGACCACGGTGAGCCCATGTCCGAGTCTCTCACCTTGGAGCACGTATCCAAGTCATCCGGCACGGCCGAGGCTCTGACGGCCAAGCAGTTTGGCGCAGATGGCTACGG